TCTGATTACTTAAATAACACAAATATAATTTTATTAATATGGTAGGTTTATTTGTTGTATATAGAAAGTTGACTCCACTATGGAGTCAACTGTTGGCTTCATAGCAAAACCGTCCAACAAATTACCCAAAAGGTGTTGGTCTATTACTGAAAAGTTCTAAACTGTTCGTGGGCTTTCTTCAGAATCTAGTACTGTCTGTGAATGGTTTGTAAAGGCCCAATAGCAACCAGGCCTTCTGTTAAGGTTCTGTTAATTGGGCTCAAACAAAGGCACTGGACTAAGGGTATTTGCTCAACTTTTTATGTATTAAATAAATAAAAAAATAATACACCATTAGATTCACTATTTTGTAATCAGGTGAGCAAAATCGAGGCCAACAATGCAATTTGTTGTGGTTCGATCCGGTTATATTAGTATTGAAATTTTTTATTCTAGTTTCCATTCAATTTCTTTATATGTTGCGATACAGTTCAGTAAGTTTTCTGACAAGTTCAGTCTTCAACTTCTTTCGGTTCATTGTTACTTTGCATGAACCAAGTCCAAATGTAAATAAAACTCGAGTCAAACCGTGCAATTTGATGTAGTTTGGTACGGTTTTTTTTTTTTTTTTCCTTTGGTTTGAAAATTTTCACAATTTTGATTTTTCAATTACATTTGGGTGCGTTTTTCCACCTAACCGCTCCGTTGTTCACCATTAATTTATATTTATAATTAAAAAATAAACTCTCCTTTTTCTTTGGGTAAGAATTAAAGGAGTTGAAAAAATTCTTAGATGTCTAGTCAAAAGTGTGGGCTCATTTTTTACATTGGGATTCAAATTGAATCATACACTATGTTTTGAGCAAGTTTTGGCATGAAAGAGGTTCAACATTTCCTTGTGATCACATCAATTATGCACATCCAATATGGGTACAAAACGTTGGAGGTTAAGGTGGTGTGTCCCCATTTATTGAGGTATTATTACAAGAATCAAATTCTAGAATAACACATGGTAGACCCTTTTTCCTTTTCACTTAAAAAAAAAATCTAAATAATATATATATATATATATATATATTTATTTATTGGGTGAAAAAGACCATGCACAAAATTAACATCCCATCAAATCAATAATAGAAATGATAATACTAGAGAACAATGTTAAGAATAATAATTGGATTACTTCTACCAAATTGATTGGCATTTTTTTCAGATGTGTTGGCTAAATTTTGGCAGATTGCAATAATACAAAATTTTAGAGGTTCCACCATATGAGGAGCTCTTGATTGGTGGAGTTCAATTGAGTATGATAATGTTATTTTGTTCCGAAATTTAGAATTTTTAGATACTCATAAAAATAGTCATTTTCATGCAGAGGTATAGTCCAATGCCCACTCCACTTGCGATGTGCAAGTGGAGATGTTATTTATATCATCATACTAATACAATTAAATGTTCATTAGAATTAAAAATAATATATTTAGGTGTATAAACAAAATTACTCGCTTTATAATTGATAAGTGTAGGTTGTCACACTTTTGTCATACATTCTAATTAAGACTAAATTGCAGATTAAATCTCTACTTTTATTTCGTTTTCGTTTGTAATTTAACCTCAGCCTTTTAATTTTGGCAACAGACACGAGTTTCTTATGGTTGAAATCAAAGCACTCTGTGCCGTAANAATTCGCAAGCTCGTACCTTTTACTGTCAAAATTAAATATAATTAATTTTAATAAAAAAAGTAGATAGTGGGAATTTTAGTTGCAATATAACCCACATTGTAAACCACTAGTCATTATATGAACGGGATAATTAGTCATAGTGATAGATAACACTTCTTTAAAAAGAAAAAGAAATAAAATGAAAAATAAAATAAAATGCTAGTTAGTATGAGATAAAAAAGAAGGTTGGGGAAAGAAAAACATTGAAGATGCTTTTTGCACCAAAAGCACTTCAACCCATCAAAGAAAAGAATTTATTCTTGTGATAAAAAAGGAGAAAAAGGATTTATAAAGGGTGAATAGAGAAAAGAGTAGGCCACCACCGGGGGACCATCGGAAAGAGTGGCGCAAAACACCTCCTTTGACGGCGGCGGAATTAATTCCTCACCTTTTCAAAGTTGGTCTAATTAGTAATTACATTACAATAATCTGTATACTTTATTCTAAACTACCACCATCTATACTATTTCGGATTTCAAATTATGGGCGGATCGAAATTTTTCTGTTTTACGAATGCTAAAACTAGAAGAGAATGCATAGAGTAGAGAAGAGAAATATATTTATTTTCAATTGCTTGTAATAGTGAAATTACATTCTCACTATTACATCCAATATATAGAGTTGCAAAAGAAAAAAAACAAATTAAGATGAAATCAAATTAAAATCAAATCAAATATCTAAATACCAAAATAACTAGTACCAAATCAAGATCATATTAAACCAAAGATATCTTATCAAAATAACTAAACCCTATCTTGACACTCTCCCTCAAATTGGTGCATGAAGATATTGAATGTCCAACTTGCTTAGAAATTCCGAGAAATCCTGGCCACCCAATGCTTTGGTAAAGATGTCTGCTAGCTGAGCTTTGGTAGAAACATAATCAGGAGCGATACGAGGACCGAAGGATCGAAGGACTGAAGGACTTGATCAATTGTATTTAATATCCAAAGGACCGAATGACTGAAGGACAGAGGACCAAAGAACTTGATCAATTATATTTAATATCCAAAGGACCGAATGACTGAAGGACTGAAAGACAGAAGGACAGAGAACCAAAAGACTTATATTTAATCATCTAAGAACACATCTAATGGAGGAGGAATTGAACCATCTAAGAACCAGATTTTTTTTTCGTGCCCGGAGAGCAGTCTGGAGCGACATGACTGAAGAGAAGAAAAGAAAAAATATATTAATCAGAACAACGATGGTGAAAAACCAGGGCTCTGATACCATACTAAAACTAAGAGAAAATGCATAGAGTAAAGAAGAGAAATATGTGTATTTTCCATTGCTTGTAATAGTGAGATTACATCCTCACTATTACATCTAATATATAGAGGTTGCAAGAGATAAAAACAAATCAAGATGAAATCAAATTAAGATCAAATCAAATATCTAATTATCAAAATAACTAGTACCAACTCATGATCATATCAAATCAAAGATATCTTATCAAAATAACTAAAGTCAATCTTAACAACAAAACGAACTATTTGTGAAAATAATCGATTTTACCAATGAAAGCTTGAGCTTAGCTCATTCATATATTTAAACGACCTAAGATCGAATAATTAATTGAATTTATTTATTAAAGAATCGAACTACAACTCACAGTTTTATTCGTTTATTCAATGAGCATCGATTCATTTATTAAACAAACACGAGCTTAAACATGAGATACTCAGCTTGACTCGACTCCAATAACACGTCCAGAGGGAATATATAATTTTTAATAACATCACACGTTTATATAGATGTAAGGCATAAAGTTTCATTATACATGGATAAAATAAATAATAAATATGCTCAAAAGACATAATTTTAAACTTTGATATTTTAAAATTGTAATTGACATTATCTCAAATCACGAATCAACTATTGACTCGATATTAATAGTTCATGCATTTTTTTTAATCTACTGTCGCAAATTGTTAACTCTCATGTTCTTCTATTTATAATTATCTATTTTCGATTTCTCACCCATTTCTACATTCAGTTTAATTAAACTCTATAATATAAGAACAAAAACACTAAATATTACACTTGAAGAGTGTCGAAAATTACTTAAATAAATATAAAATAATTACAAATGATTATTAGATTGATCATATCAATAATTAGTATAATTATGGGATATATGTATAAACTTAGTGTGATTATAATATATATTATATATTGTATGTGGTAAGATAGATTACAGATTTGGCAAGCGACATTAGTTGACAACAATTTAAAATGTTCATTGAGTCAAATCTTAATCATACATTTATTTGCTTCTCAACCATCCACATCACATCATATTGTCATGAAATGTTTTAGAAAAACATTGTACATGTACCTTTCTTCTTGGCAAAATGCCTATATATTGAGAAATAGTCCTTTTCATATTTTTGAGAAAAAAAAATGCACATGTATTTATAAGTATCATATTTTACTCATGTTTTATTTTTTAAAATTATCAAAAGAGCATATTACACTACAACATATTTAGCTTTAGATATTATCAAAAAAGTATTACATAATAGGTATAAAATGTTACTATAGACAATAGGTAACATAATATTACATAATAGGTATAAAGTGTTACTATAGACAATAATATTTTGGTAACACTTTTTTTATATGTTACAATAATATTTTGGCAACACTTTTTTTATATGTTACATTAATTAAATTATCGTAACAGTAGCAACACTTTTTTTATATGTTACATTAATTAAATTATTATTTTGGTAACACTTTTTTTTATATGTTATAATAATATTTTGGTAACACTTCACTTTTTTATATGTTACATTAATTAAATTATCGTATATGTTACATAATTTATATGTTACATTAATTAAATTATCGTATATGTTACATTAATTAAATTATGGTAACAGTAGCACATGATAATTGTTTACCTCTGAAGTAACACTTTTTTTTTCAAATGTAACACTTATTAATTGAAATTATGATTCAAATGTATCATTTTATTCTTCAATTGTATCACTTTTTTTTTCAAATGTAACACTTATTAATTGAAATTATGATTCAAATGTATCATTTTATTCTTCAATTGTATCACTCACCTTTTCGTATTGCAACACTTATAAGTATTTATGTAACCCTTTGAATTGTTACATGTGTTACTTTTTAAGTTGTAAAATGTAACATTTTTCTAGATACAGTTTTATTTATTTATTTATTTATAATAATTATTCTTATTATTTTGCAATTTAACAATTTAGGTATAATGTTAAATATAAAAGAATAAGACATACAAATAAGTTTTTATTCCTCAAATCAATAATTATGTCGAAGTACATAGAAGGCTAACTATAATGCTCTCCCAATCTAACATCTAAAATGACAGATATTAAAACAAAAATATGACCATCCCAAACATAGGTCATCAAACATATTATAGAGAGAATGTCTTCATAATGTTCATCTTCACTACCTTCGTTGTCAACTCCATTCCTTATATCCATGTCTCAGTCGAAGGCCCAAAATATTGAATTTGCTCCATCAACTGCATCGTCATCCTGAAATAACTATTTATTTATAAGTACACTACAACAACAACAACAACATACCCAGTATATTCCCAACAAGTTGGGGTCTGGGGGGTCAGTTGTACGCAGACCTTACCCTTGTAATTATACAAGGAGGCTGTTTCCGTAGCGACCCAAGGTGCATTGCGCCGTTTGATATATATTTTTTTTTTTTTTCTAGAAACTTCACTAATAGAAGAAGCACTAGAATTTATAAGTACACTATTTAGTAAAATTTAGCTTTAACAATGAAATAGATTTTCTTAAAAGAATACAAATGTTAAATATAGTCACATATGCAATTTTTTACTCCTACACTTGAAATAAAATTCTTTTAGGTAATAAGTGAGCCTCTTCGTAGAAACATAAATAATAACTAATTAGGAAAATGTTCAATAACTAAAAGAATACTAATATAGTCATATATGCATAAATGAAAATAAAAATAAAAAATGTGATATAAATAAAAGCTAATTCAGACATTAATAACCATATAAGAACTTTTGAATACAGAACTTTTATATCAGAAAGTAGGTTCATGAAGATTTATTATAAAAGGCACCTCTCTAGCTAATTAATGTGATAAAATTTCAAAACATATCATGTAGTTTCTGCCATTCATTTATATAAAATGTTTAATGTGTACACACAATACACAGAAAAGGAAACAAAAACGAAAGGTATATACAGTATGATAGACAATGGATGAAAAGAAAATTCTTACCTCACCACTAATGAGATCATTGATCTTTAAACTTCCAGTATGAGGAACTCTAAAGCTATATAAGCTATCCGATATGCAAATCAGGGGTTGTACTGCATGCATTTTCAAGGTCTCTACGTAAGCAACCGTGAGGGATGACGGAAAAACAATGAGTTTTACCCTTTAGGACAAAAATTAAACTCAATACATGAACATCACTTGTATTAAACTCAAAAATTAAACTCAATAAACGAAAAATAAATTGAACTAACAGTAAAAACATTGTAAACATCACTTGTATTCTCCTCTACATAGAACCTCTAGAGCTATAAAAGTTGTTGGAAAAGTACCTATCCTGAAACAATTATTCAATCATGCAAAGATCTAAAATCATCAAGTTAACGAAGCAAATAACCATATTCTTCTCACGTGTGAGAAAACTCTATATCAACAAGTAACAAAATATAATAGTAGAACAGCATGACAAAATCTAAAACAACCAAAAGAGGACCAGTTTCAATTTACCCAAGCCACAAGATAGAATGACATCCTCTACTAAGAAAATAATAGGATCAAATTCGCAATAACTACTTTTTTCTCCTGCAAAATCAACAAAGCGAAATGAATATAGATACTTCCATGTACCCAACATCAACACGCATCAATCCAACATTAGCAACTGATATAATCATAATTCATAATAAAACTTTAGTTATCTTAATTCTATCTATATGAAAAAGGCCTCACTCCCAACCACTTGAAAGACGGGAAAAATGTGCAACTGAAAAGGACAGAAACATCCACAAATTTTCATAAGATGTTGTGCACGAGCTTAACCAGAACAACCTGTAACATGGAACTCTTGACTACTTACCAGAGTAACTAGTCATGTGGTCCGTCTTCCTCACACCAACCAGTCTCTACAATGTTTGGAAGAAATAATAGTGTTAATCAATCAAATAGAACAAATTAACCAGAGAAATAATTAAATAGTAACTACTGTTTTACAGAAATGGTATGTGTACGAAAAAAATATAAAACTTTTCTTAAGGATGTTCAACATCACACTGGGAAAAGGGTAACTCATCAGACAAACCCACCTGCTCAGAAAAGAAAAATGTAGAAAATCCCCGAGAGTTCATAATTTCAGATATCGCCTGGGTGGCATTCTCAAAAAACCTGTGTTCTTTGCTTAAATGAAAGCAAAAACACATCGATTATATTGCAAAAACACATCCCCGAGAGTTCATAATTTCAGATATCTCCTGTGAATTACATTCAAGCTGCTTTAGATAACAGAATAATATGGACAAACACACTGGAACTGAGAAAGAAAAACTAAAAAGAAGCATCAGCTTTTGCACTATAACAGATTTAACAAGTGGGAATTAAATGGATACATAAGAATGAGAGGGAATGGTCCCACTACAAATCAAGGCAAACGCTTAATTGGCACATACAAGTCTACCAGGTTGAAGGAAAGCGATAACTCCTTCAGGCTATGTTATTTCAGCCATCATTTTCTTTTCGACCTCTACTTCTATGAGTCCCTAAGCTGTCGACTTCCATGAGTGCAATGGTTAAAAGTTAGGGGGATTAACAGGATAATGAGGGTCGATTTGATTTATGTTTAATAAATCAAATAGAAACACACAGAAAGTAATCAATCATTCACAGAATATAAATAAGTTGATCGTAAAAATCAAGCATATACATGAAAGAACCCTAATTCCAGAGTCTAACAAATGTCAATCGATTAACCCAAGCATCACACCTCATTTATGTCGAATTGTTGGACAAAATCCTGGGCGACCCACTTCGGTTTCATCGTCATCCTCATTGTTCTCGTTATCCCATCCGTCCATCTCGATCCGGAGGTAGTCGGCGTCAGAAGAATCTGCGGGGATAGGGGTTGACGCGTCCTCCTCGTGCGCCACCTGGGCGATGAGGTAGAAGACCTGGTTGAACTGGCTCAAGGGGGTCGACAGCGGAATCCGGGATGGGGAAGAAGGCGGCATTCTTGCAGTCGCAGCAGACTACGACGGGGGAGATCCGGTGGCGACGCGCAAGTCGCAGTGGTAGAACCAGTATTTAGGGGTATCGAGGCCCGAATCTACGGCTAGGATTTGACTAGGACCGATGAACGATAGATAGGGTTTCGACCATGGAGTAGGAAAAGCGATTGAGGAGGATTCAATCTGCGCGTGAGGAAAAATCAAAATATGATTGTCATATGAACTCATATCATAAAAAAACGACGTCGCTTGCTAAACTAAATATTTTTCTAGAAATAGCTAAAATCAAGTGCATTTATACAATAAGAGAGATATATACATTAGTTCTATATGTCATTAGATATACACAATAATTTGATATCTAAAACAATAAATTGAATTATATTGATAAGTAATTTTGGTTTGTTGTACTTTCATATTAACGAAATTTATCAATTATAGTTTATGAATGACAATGCATGCTAGATTGAAGACTTTTAAGACAATATTACTTAAATTAAAAAATTAAAAAAATATATTATAAAAGAAATGATGCTAAATTGTGTTACTTAAAATGACAAAAGAAAAAGTATTACTAAAAATATGTTACTTAATCGAAAGTGTTACATTAAAATATTACTCATTAGTAAAGTGTTACAAAATGTGTTAGTTAATTGCCAAAATTTCATAATATTAAAAGTGTTACAATAATATGATACACAAACCAATAATTTGTAAAATGCTACAATAAATATGTTACCTAAAGTCATTTATGTTGTAGTGTTAGTCTAGTTGGGCGGAGATAGTGGATTTCTCGTAAAATAGCAAGCAGATGATTTACCTATATGTCCCAAGTCAAATTCAGCTTACCTATATGTCCCAAGTCAAATTCAGCATTAGGTCCAGTTAAAAGAAAACTGTTTTCAGTAGCAAGTTAGTAACTAAGGTATCACTTCGAGAACGCAAAAATTTTACTCTGATTTTTATAAGTTCAATAATAAGTAGGCGGGATTTTTATAAGTCCAGTAATAATAAGTAGGCGGGTTGTATGGTTGTTAGGCGTTAAAAAAACTAACAACAATAATAACAATCATGTTTATAAATATGTCAAAATATATTTTTATATATTTTTTTAAAATATCTAAATTTTGAGTCGAAATTAATCAGGTAACTATAAGTGGTAAGTTGTAACTACTAAAGAGTATGGTTTTAGTATTTTGTTTATCTTATTAAATTTTAGGGCAAATAAATATTATATAGTTTTATTTCATATTTTAATAAAGTACTCGTGTGTTTATATATAGAGAGAGAAAAAATCAATTGTGTTCTTATGACACTCACATTCATATGTATATGCTAATGATTAATAACACTAGAGATCTCGTAGTAACATCACTCACTTTGTGGAGGTGCATAATGAAATGTAGTAAAATTTAGGTTAGGATTTAGTGAAGCTGAAAATTACTAAAGTAGTTAATTTATTAAACCTGAAGTTGGGTACTAAACATTATTCAGATAAAATTCTGATTTTATAAATGCTAAGTTAATAATTAGGTTATGTATATTTTGTATGAAAATGTCCTATTAAAAAATATCATATTGAATAATTATGCATTTTTACATCAAAAACTGATCCTCGTATCTGAGAAAGAACATACAATATAAACATGTATAAAAGTGACATGTAATACTATTTAGCCAGTCATAAAAAACAACTAACAACAATTGTGGTAAACGAATGGTTGAAAAAATTGGACTTGATTAAAATAAGTCATTATGCAACATATGATGCAAACAAACAAATCTCACAAATTGAGATAAATTAAGATTTTAGAAGTATATACCATACAGCAAGAATTAGATTATGAAATTCAACAAGTGGGTTATATTTTGTCTCTGAACACATAATATAATAAATATTAAAAAGGTGGGGTTTGGATTGAAGAATTTCACAAGATAAAAAAGGTCTTTTNAAGCCATTCAATATGGCCATAGTGTACCCATTTTCATTTATTGATAGTTGATACCTAATCGAAAAATATCCATAAAAAAGGTCAATTATGCTACGAGTTTTGGCTTCCATACAAAAGTACAATTCTCACTGTCAGTCACTGATTTTAGACCATACAATTACATGAAGGGTACATAAAATTGATGAAAATAAATCTAGCATAAGAATATGAGAATCACATTTTTCTTTACCTTTAAAAAAAATGAGAAATTGATGCGCTTGTACATACGACCTTTTGGCGTATGTGTCATTCTTAAATAATCAAATTAGTGACATCTTAAAAAGGGCATAATGCAATTGAAAAGCACTACCCTTGTTGGAGAATAAACCCTACATCTAACCTCAACACCAAAAATGGGTTTAACTAAGCAAGAAATATCATATAAGTTGCAAAATCATCTCCCAATTTTAGTTAAAATTATAAAACATAAAAAAATTTTAAAGATTGAATCACAAGGTTATACATATTTTTTTAATAACTAATCTACAGCAATCTATATGTGACATTTGCTGTCTATGAGTAGCATGCAAGCCATGTGAAATGTTTTAAAAGGCCAAGGGATGGAATATAAGAGCAGAAAATAATAGTCTCTCAACATCATTTCCAGAAAAAATCACACCAGCAAGCAAGTATTTGGACTTTACAAACAAATCCAAAACAAGAACTTAAAATGATTCAACTAATACTCAAGCAACCTGAATCAAAACCCCATGTGCTAAACCATCACTGAACAACATCAAAATTGCCCATGGGCATCAACCATTTTGAATCAACAACACTTCAAAAACTCCTTCCCATTTCCATCAAATTCTTATTCACAATTATTATAAAACCGCACATACGAAAAGATCAAAACCATGCTCATGCATCGATAGGTACACAATACATTGTCTATATACAACAAGGAAAAAGTCCAAATCAAACAACAAATCTTACCTCATATATATTCTCCACAGACCAAAAAGAACCAAGATCACTCAGAATTTACAGAAAAAAAGCCAGCCGATCGATCAATCAAGCTGTGTGCGTGAGATTAACTGCCCTGTTCAGCCTCTCGAGAATCCCGTTGGCCTTCCTCTTAGCCCTCGATGTCCCATTTCTCGCAAGCCGTGAAATCGTCTGGTTCAGATTCTCTTCCTCCCGAACCTCCTTCAGCTTCGACCGATCACTAAAACAAATCGTGTACAAAATCGCCACACAATTCTCCTGGTTTCGAGCACACGACGCCTCCCTAATAATCCCGAGCAAGCAAGAAACCCCACCGAGCTCCCCCAATTCCTCCACCGCCTTCTGATTGGTCGAGAGCATCGCGAGTATAGAAAGCAACTCATCCACGTGGGTCCCGCCTGAGATCTTCTCAAGAATCACTGCCACTGCCCTCTCCCTAACTGCCCTCACCTTATTGTCATGAATTATGCACAAGTTGAAAATAGCCGAGGCCACATCCTTCATAGCCAAAGGGTGTCCTTCGTCCAAGAGCTCGATCAATGGTTTTAAGGCGCCCGATTTACCGATGAGGGCCTTATTCGAGTCGAGAGCCGATAGCGTGAAAAGGGCGGCAGCTGCATTCGAGCGCGTCTCTATCGTGCACGTCTTTTTCAGCGCGTCGATCAAGAAATCGATCACATTGGGAGTTTCGGCCACGAGCTTCTTGTTGTTATCGTGGATCGAGATATTTAGAAGGGTCGTGACTATGTCTTCTTGGAGGTGGACCCCGTTTTTGTGAGAAAGAGGGGATACTAGCTTGGGTATGGAATTGTGATATTCGCCGAAAAGGGCTCGGAAAGATGGGTTTGATTTTGTCAAGAGGCGTAGTTGTTTGGCGGCTTCTTTCTGTTGGGATGATGTGGACATTTTGTCGAGTAGGGATAGGAAAAGGTCGCGTTCGGCTTGTGTTAGGGTGTCCTCGCTGGCGTATTGGATAGGGTCGGGTAAATTGATGCCGTTGGTTTTGCAGTAGTGTGTGATCATGTCGCGAATGAGGTGGTTTGGTGTGAGGATGGTGTGTGAGAGGACTTGTTCGGTTTTTGGGCATGTTCTGTTCCCTGCTTTTAGCCATTTTTGAATGAAAGGCCGGTCGAAAGTCTGTGGAGATTGTGAAGAAGAAGAAAAGACATCAGAAGAAGTCGAAAATGATGATAACAACTAACAAGTGTTTTGAAAAAGATCAAGAAATTCATGGCATGATTTCATATTTAAAATAACAGCCTCGAAACACAATTTCTCGAACAAACAAGGAATATAATGGCAGCATTCAAAGAGAATTCAGGGGGGGTCATCAAGATTATCTTAGAAACTGAAGGAAGGGTATAATAATTCAGATGAGAAGAAAAAATAAAAAGAAAACAGAGATAGAATTTCCCCAGAAAACATAGAATTCAACCAAATTAAACCATTCAAAAGAAAGAAAACAGAGGATTCAGCTAAGATATATAACTTTAAAACAAAGGACCAGGAAGAAGGAAACAGAAGTCCATTGACCAACAAGATTGCTCAGACGAAGCAAAAAATCATAAATCTTGGAGCAACATTAGTTAGAATTCAGTCAATATCACTTGAAAAAAAGAAAATAAATAGAAAAATTGCTATAACATCTTATTTCCAATAATCAATATCTGAAGCTCAAGGACAGAACTATAAAATCACTTTCCACCAACCACCCCAAATTCCATATCCATCAACCAGAATTCTCACAATTCCAACCAAAACCCAGTTCACAGCCATCATAATATAACATAAATATAAACAGAAAAGCACCTACAAGCAGATATTTTCCCAAANAAAAAAAAAAAAAAGAAAAGAAAAAAGGAGAAAGGGAACCTGTCCGGTGGCAATAATCACGGGATCCCTCATGAGCTCCTTGGAAAGGGGGCATACGAACTCCTCCGGCGCCGCCGAGTAATCCATCTCCCGATCACATTGACGACCTCTCAGCTTTACCGATGCTGCTCTCTTCAATTTCAAATCCCTCATCGCCGTAAGCATCTGGTGGGCCCTATCGACCGCCTCCAAATTGACGTCGTCCTCGTCCACAATCGCCCTCACCAGCTTCTGCAACTCCTTCTTGAGCTCCGCTGCCCTCTCCGCCGGCCGATCCCCTTCAAACACGCCGCTCTTTGCCATAACCGTTTTGTCTCTATTCTCCGAATCACCCAAAAGCACAAAATTTCACTGCTACTGCAATTACGCCACACATATCCTGATGGGTCGTTTTTCTTCAAACTTACTCTTGCCAACAATTGTTTTTCTTTTTTTTTTTCCTTAATTTTATTTTTTTCTCCGGCGAGTGAGAAAGTGTTCGAGGAAGGGACGCAATATACAGTGCAGTTGAGTTTTTAAGTGAGAGTGTGTGTGTGTGGGTCCCACGACTATGGTGATCTGTGGCCGGCCAGCTGGCGGGCTACGCGGACGGGATGTGTGAGGGTTACGCATGCATAAAATCCACCATAACACGGTAATATCAAATATGGGTAAGTTAACATTAATGTTTATTTTTTATATACAAAATATTTTATTTAAAATAGATATACAAGATAATTAAGTAACAAATATGATTCAGATATTAATTAAAAATTAATCTATTAGACATATCTATACTTATATAATAAGAATTAACCTTTTTCAAAATTAGTAGGTCAATTCTTAGTCAGCATCTTGTCTGCATTAAATGTTTACTAAAATTAGTAACTTTTATGTCCTTTTCACACTTTTTCTTTATGTCCTTTTCACACTAGATTATATAAATGAACGGATATTATCTCACCTTTCATTAATCTCACCTATAATTCATGTGAATTGATTGATTGCCTTTAACTTTTCAAAACGTGTACTATCCATTGTTTATTACTATTATTATTATAGTATGCACGTAATCAGTTGATTAAATAAATTATATATTATTATTATTATTATATCACCACGTGACAGTTAATTAAAATATATCTATACTTATATTAAAAGGTATATCATTTACCAGATTTAATATAAAAAAAAGTCAACAACATTTATTGCATTACTATTTCCGTATTATACAATCTATACTTATAGAAAAAGAGATTCTATTTACTATATTTACTATCCAGAAAAGTCAACTGCATTAAATGTCATTACTATTTTGGTATTATAATATTTTATTTATTTAATTGTTTTATTTATTTGTTTTATTTTAAAAAGGTAAGTATAATAAAAAGATTTTAATAATAAAAAAATCAAATACCAAATAAAAATGTACACTTTGACTTATTTGATTATATTTGGTATTTGATTATACCAAATATATTCCTATTTAGTATATACATTAAATACTTACTAAAGTATTTGTTTGTTTTATTTGTCAAAGTTAAGTATAGATTTGTTTATATTATCAAATCATAAAAAAATATTAAATCCATATTGTAAAAAAAAAAAAAATCATATAATTTTATAACAATTCTACTACACTATTTAACAATATTTTTTTTTTATTATATAATAAAATAATAATTAAATATTATATGGTGAACAACAATAAGTAAAACTGTTACTTTCTCTTATATCAAGGGATAAATTTATATGCTAAAATTAAATTTTTATTAGTATAAATGTTTTAGTGAGATAATATATTAATTATTTTACAAGCTAGCCCTAACATGCTCATATTTAATGTTTTAAAAGATGTAGAAAAAAAACTTATAATAACTCTATTGTTTTTTAGACTTAAACGTTGATTAAAAGAGGTAAAAATTCCTAATTTTTTAGACTTAAACGTTGATTAACACCATAGATTGAGAGTTTATATTTAGTAAAATTCCTTATTGTAATAAAAAAATTAATTTTTGCTATATTTTAGAATATCTTTAAATTCATTATATATAAAAAGAAAAAAAACTACAATGAAAAAAGCAAGTCAGCTATATATCGATTTGTTGTACTCCTCAAATCACATTCACAATTTGGCTACAAGAAAAGGAAACTCATTGATTAAAATATTATTTTGTCAGTAGTCTTAATGTACAAGAGACTTTAAGACTCCACTTGAATATTATACAACTTTTATTGAACATTGTATAATTTTCTTGCGTATTATAAACTTTTATTGAATATTGCATCTTATAATATAATATTCTCTAAATAAATATATCTCGTGCTTTGCACGGGTCACGTACTATATATATTCCGTACATCTTTCTTTATTCATGTATATAATTATAAGCTTAGATAAATAGCCTTAAAAATGTACATCTCGTGCATCGCACGGGCTCTGTACTAGTTAGTTTTTCAAATGGCTTATGGAATTACTAGTACACGTACGAGTCTTTAATATAAATAAATAGTTTTATATTATTTATTATTAATTTATATGAACGCCCCTATAGGAATCTAATATATTAACTTGAGATTAAAAGAATGAGCTAATTATTAATTCGATGGTTGAAAAAATCTATTTAGAAACTGAATGATTTAAAATTATCATAAAAATATTTCATTTAAATGAGTTAATAATTATGTATATTTTGTAAAAATGATTTGCTTAAAATGTATATAAAAGATAATTTAGTATAACATAATTTGTTTGACAAATTAGTTTGTTGTTTGGCATATGTGTCATGTGTGAGAAAGTCTGCCAAATAGGTCGATCTGCTATATTTTATGAATAAAGATGAATATTTATACTGTAATAATTCTATTTATGATAATTTTAATAAAAATATAAATATTTGTGAAAAAATTATACGACCTAATTGTTAAGCCAGCCTAACATAATACGTATTGTTTTTATTATTGTGATGAGACGAGTAACGAGAATATATTTTCTATTTTAAAATCAAGTTCTAAGTTTTGTTTTATTTTGTTAAATGATTGACACATAATTATGACGTCATAAAGAACGCTGTCATTCACTCAATAAAATAAAATATATTTTTGAAATAAAAATCTCAAATCTATACTTATATTAAAAGGTATACCATTTACCAAATTTAGTATAAAGAAAAGTCAATAACATTTATTGCATTACTATTTCCATATTATACAATCTATACTTATATAAAAGGAGATTCTATTTACTATATTTACTATCAAGAAAAGTCAATTGCATTAAATGCCATTATTATTTTGGTATTATAATATTTTATTATTTAATTGATTTATTTATTTATTTTATTTTAAAAAGGCAAGTATAATAAAAAGATTTTAATAATAAAAAAATCAAAATACCAAATAAAAATGTACATTTTGACTTATTTGATTATATTTGATATTTGATTATACCAAATATATTCATATTTAGTATATACATTAAATACTTACTAAAGTATTTATTTGTTTTATTTGTTAAAGTTAAGTATAGATTTGTTTATATTATCAAATCATAAAAAAAATATTAAATTCATATTGTAAAAAAAAAAATTATATAATTTTATAACAATTCTACTACACTATTTAACAATATTTCTTTTTTATTATAAAATAAAATAATAATTAAATATTATATGGTGAACAACAATAAGTAAAACTGTTACTTTCTCTTATATCAAGGGATAAATTTATATGCTAAAATTTAATTTTTATTAGTATAAATATTTTAGTGAGATAATATATTAATTATTTTACAAGCTAGCCCTAACATGCTCATATTTAATCTTTTAAAAGATGTAGAAAAAAAACTTATAATAACTCTATTGTTTTTTAGACTTAAACGTTGATTAAAAGAGGTAAAAATTCCTAATTTTTTAGACTTAAACGTTGATTAACACCATAGATTGAGAGTTTATATTTAATAAACTTCTTAATTGTAATAAAAAAAAATAATTTTTGCTATATTTTAGAATATCTTTAAATTCATTATAAAAAAAGAAAGAAAAAAAATACAATGAAAAAAGCAAGTCAGCTATATATCGATTTGTTATACTCTTCAAATCACATTCGGCAACAAGGAAAGGAAACTCATTGATTAAAATATTATTTTATCAATAGTCTTAATGTACAAGAGACTTTAAGACTCCACTTGAATATTATAAAACTTTTATTGAACATTGTACAATTTTCTTGCGTATTATAAACTCTTATTGAATATTGCATCTTATAATATAATATTCTCCAAATAAATATATCTCGTGCTTTGCACGGGTCACGTACTATATATATCCCGTACATTTTTCTTTATTCATATATATAATTATAAGCCTAGATAAATAGCCTTAAAATTGTGCACCCCGTACATCGCACGAGCTCTGTACTAGTGAGTAATAAATTCTTGTAATGTGTAATTATGATAATTTTCCTAGTGTAGCATGATTCATTCATTAATTACCGGCTCCTGTATCTAGTAGACACGGATTTGAGTTAAAGATGAATTAATTAATATCTAAGGAAACTGTGAGGAATATTTTATTTTATTTTTAATTGATGATTGAATTACGAAATGTGCAAGCTAAATTTTGCGTTTAATTGCCATGAATATTCAGAATCGGTTCGATCTCGTCTAGATGGTGGGTTCGTCTATCAACACACGTCTTTTTAGAATAAAACCGAGAGTAATTATTTTAATTTTAGTCAAATGTTTTAATTTTATCTAATTTTTCTATCAAACACTTCTCGACTAGACTTTGGAATGAAAAGGTCATAGTTAATTCATTGGTGATAAATTAATAATAAATTTATGGATAAATTAGCTATTTAAAAAAGAGAAAGAAAAAGTTCATTTTAGAGAAATAAAGATGGATTTTTTTCTAGAAAATCATATTGAAAAAACTATTTAAGAATATATTTTTTTTAATAGAAGTTATCCAAAATAAGCCATAAGATTAATGGGGAATCTCAATATGAATATTGATAGAATTCAAAATTGTATGATATCTACCAAAAATCATGATCCTCAATTTGACTTCTATAAAAATCATGGTCAACTTAGAATTACGTGATATCTACCAAAAGGGCGTCATCCTCAATTTGAAATTCTGTAGATTTTATAATTTCATTATCCTCTATTTTTAATGGAATCCATAGGATTTCATTAACTTATGGGAATTATATGGAATTCTACCAGAATGTCGTGGATTTCATTAATATATTTTTTTACTATATAAAAAATATTATTATTGAAAAAGTTATTGTTATAACAATATTTTTATATTCTAGATTAATGAAAAATTACTCACGCTAAACTCTACCTATCTATCTCCAACAAGAAAGCAAATGTTGCATATTTTTTGTATATAATTATTATTATTACCTAAATGAAACTGCTTATTGTAAATCTCAATTGAAGGATTTGGAAAAAAATGTGGGATTATCCATTGAAGAATATAATCAATTGAAGAATTATGTACTTTATAAAGAATTATATATTGAAGAATATAACCATATGGGACTTTTTCATCAAAGGATATAATCGACTGCTTATGGTAAAATTCTTATTA